TATTTCGCATTTTTTTTGCCGGCCAATGCTGCCTCTTAACCCCTTAGTGCCTGTGTGGGGCTTTTCAAAGGGGCTCAGTCGTTACAGTGACAGCTTCCTTCTGCATGTTATTTTATGCGCAAAGGCCGACAAAAACACAGTTTTTTCTTTTTTTTTCAAGCCTTAAAACGTTTTGCCAGCGGCTGCTTAAAAAAATAGAAGCTTCAGAAAAAAGATAGGGAAAAACACAGCTGAATTAGTACGTTAGAACAACTTCCTTACTAAGGTCGAATGTTTTAATATATTTTAATTTATTATTGAACTGCTTTAAATGGTTGCAGATACAAAACACAATTTAAGCTTAGACCAAACATTTATAAAATCACCCAATTTATGAAAGACAACTTAAGGTTTTAAGAGAAACATTTATTCTTTTAATGCTTTTATATGCACAAATAAATTATTTAATTAAATAAAATCGACATACTTCCAAATAATTTATTACCAAAAGGTTATTTAATCCGATGAATTTTCGTTTACGTATACATTTTTCATTGCAACATTTAAGTTTACAATTCAACGACTGAGTCTTTTATTTCCTGACAATATAATTTATTTAAATTTTGACTTCCCTCATATAGAAAGGGGCAGAAGGGAAAGGGGAATCAACTTCCCTTTCACAAGATTGATGACTTCCAGAGGCGACAGCCACAGGTGTGAGGGCTGTGCTTGCGCTCAGCATATTTATGATGAATTACCTGAGTCAGCTGGTCTATCCTCTCCATTAGATTACTTTCCATCATGTCACGCTCACTTTCCCCAGCTGTCAATAAGCAAATGGCAGCGATAAATCCTCCCCAGCCAATATATATTGCAAATATGCAGACGTGGCTGTGAAAGAGAGATCTTGTCGCTTCTCCGCAAATTGTTGACATTTTAATTGAAATTTATTGGGCCTAAGTCAGGCCATTGTTTGCCCATTTAAATAAAATGCCCATTCAACACCTGAACCTGACAGACGCACAAATAGCGAGCCGATATTGTAAATAAATTAAATATACCAATCCTTTAAAAAGTTTGTCATTTCATTTCCATTCTTGAGCCATGACAAATCCGCTTCCAAGTCAATGGACAAGCCCGGGAAACTCGGGAAATGCAACAGCACTGAATTGAAGGCAGCTCTAAACTTGTTCGATTATAAATCAAAACTTTCGATTTTCTCTGGGTTCTTTTCTTTCCGGTTTGCTGATGCTGCTGCTGCTTGGAAACTTCCGGTGCCATCGGCTAGACAGAATTGAAAAGAAATTTTCCACAGACGGAGAAACTTTCACAGCTGAAAAGACCGAACTTGAAAACGAATAAATGACAATTGATCGATTTTGAACTTTTGAGAAATGTAAATAATGCGTATTAATGATGTTCTTGGCTGTCTATTTTCCTTTATCTGTGAATGACTTCTGTCGAAAACATGGCATTCGACAAAAATGTTTTACTATTATTTAAATAGTATTTAAAAGATTTTACGTAACAACATTTATTATCCCATTAACTTTATTTGCATCTAATGCATTTGCACATTAGTTAACAATGCTATGACTAACTTTTCACCTTTTATGGTCACCTGCAGAGTTGATAAAAAATAATATATGGAAAAAATTGTAAGAGAAAAAATAGTTTGGCAACTGGCCAAACCGCCAGAGCAGCAAAAAATAATCATAAATTACAGTTGTCAACTATTATGAGGGCCAAACAACTGAACAAATCGAAAAGGACCAAAAAAAAGAGAGGGCAACAAAATGCCATTAAAGTTTACAACTTGTTTGGGGAATTAGTTGCAACAGAAGAGAATCAGGCAAAAACCATTTGCAGAAACATTAAATTACACATAAACCATGAATGTTCCTCAATTATGGCCTTTCATGTCCTGGAATAATTTATCTTTTGTGAACTCCAATATTAATTAAGCCCACGTAATCGTTCAGCATAGTTGACAATATTTTCAATAGTATAATTAAAGTGATACACGTGTTGAATTATTTTTGTTACTTCAGTATCCAAAATACATAAATAAATTTAAATGGTTTTGAGTGCGCTTTTTTTATTTTAGTTATAAAGCAAGCTTTATACAATTTTACTAATTTACATTTGAAATATTTGGTTATTGTTTTATTCGCAATTTGCTGGTAATGAACTGTGGCTATTAAGAAAAAACAAAATCTTTTTAAGTAAGCCAAATCACACTTCAGCATTCCAAACTCATGAGCCTGCAGACAAGGAAAAAATCCGAGCTCTGACACTCGAAATTGGCCACGTGTCTGGCTTTTTCCCATCCGACTCGTCTGAATTCTTTTCAAATGTGTGTCACACACATTCTGTCGGATATGCTCGGAATGATAATGAGAATCCTGAAATACCTAGAATTCTGTCCCAATTTGTTTAGTTCATTTGGCACACGAAGAAAGTTAATTAGCAGAGGTATATATTGAATATGAAATGCAAGCAGAGATAATTGAATTTCATGTATGAAAGAAACTGTGGTCCACATAATTGTTAAATTAAATGGTAGAGAAATATTTGTGGGTTTTTCAGTTTGCAGGAAAGTATTGCTGTTGTTAAACTTATTAGTTTTTTGACTAACCAATTATATTTATTTTTGCGGACATCTTCCATTTATAATTTGCCCACAATGTGTAAAAAAAGGGATCAAGCTATAGTATGGCCTTTTACAAACAAAAGAATCAAATAATGATTTTATTGTTGAAAGGAACTTAAAACTACCCTCAAAACGTTTGCACATCACTTGCAACTTACCTACCACCAAATTTGCCGTAAAAATTATACCACAAAGCGGAGATAAAAAAGGGCAAAGTAAGCTTGATAATCAGGCACTCAATTATCCCCTAAGTTTGCACTAATTGGTTGGCTTAAAGTCAAGTAGCGGGCAGACCTTCGACTCCTCTGAATCCTTAGCCCTCCGATGCAGCTGTCACTTTTGAAAAGTTGCCTTCGCGGAGGAGTTGAGGGATTTCTGTGGGAGCTGTTGCAATATTTTGGCGCATAATTCCTTCCCTGCGCTGTATATAAAATTTAATTAAGACGCATAAAGTTTTTCACACTTTGACACAAGCCCCAAAGCATATGCTCAGCTCCTCGTTCCACTGTCCAATCTCGACCCGATCTCGCCCGGCGCCGTCTTAAGGGAAACTACTTTAGTTTGGCTTTGCGCGGAAACTTTTGGGTTCTGGCCAAGCCCCGAGTTGAAAGAGAGAGAGCATAATTTCCCTTATACACAAGAAAAATTAATAATATATATTACCCGTTTTAGGAATAGGATTTGGGCTTATCTTAGGTTGAAAAATATGTCACAAATACATTTTTTAAAAAATAATAATAAATTGTTATGAGCGTTTAAATCTTAAATCTTCTTAGGAAGAAGAATATAAAATGTTTCCAAGCTGCTAACAATGTGGTATTACTCTTATTCTGCAATGAAATTCACTAAATTAATATTGTAATTTTTTTCGTATACCTAAATATTCTTTTATATCTTATATTGTAAACACTTAGTACACCTAAAAACTGTTTGGGCTAAAACAAACCTAATAAAGCTTAAAATTCACTGCTCTGAGAAGTCATTTTAATACCTAAATAAATTAAAAATTGATAATCATTTTTCTCAGTGCAACAGCACGCTGGCAAAGCGGGCAAATTACGCGCCCTGCTGAGCGCTTTTGTTAATTATGCCACGGCTCCTGCAGGTCTTCACACTCAAACACGACGTTCTTTTTGGTGTTTATTTTTGTTGGCAACCGCCAAAGTTTTGTTGCACAATTTGCTGCTCAAACAAAGCCAAAACAATTTAATTGTCACAGTCGACGAAGTGAGGCAACCAAATTGCATTTTATGGCGCGAGGACAAATAGCCAAAGTGTATGGATTAAATGGAAACTTACTCACGAAAAACGAACCGAAGCAAACCCATATGTCTGGGAAACTTTTTCAATCATCCGTGTTCTCGGAAAGAAACCGAGTAACCCGAAAACTCACACAGTTTTTCCATCACCCGCCCATCGAACATTTACCACACTTTTGGTTTTTCTCTCCGTTTGGGTCACTACTAATGAGCAAGGACATTAAATGAAAATGTTGACAACTTTTGGGCAGCTTGTTTCGTGGCGCTTTACAGATTTTCACGACTTGTAATTGATTTGCCTCGACTTGATGCTGTTGTTGTGGCTTTTCAGCCTAGAACTGAAAGAAGAACAAGTCCTTTTAAATTTCACAAGCAAACACAAAGCGGGAGAAACGAGGAAAAGAAATGCCTAAGAGCGGCACTTTGGCAAAGAGCCAAAATAACACAGGGCCAGGACGAGAACTTTTGTGTTTTTGTATGAGCGCTGACAACAAGCCTCCCGGTAAAAGGCAAAGATCCAAAAAAAAAAATATATATATGAGAGGAATAGAGGGAAGGAAAACTGTGTTACAACTACTGAAAAACTTGTTATCTTAATGGATATTTTGTAGTTCGTTTGTGGCTAAAATTGACTCACTCTTTCTCCGCCCGCCGCAAGGCATTTTCCTCCCAAGAAACAATTTCACCATCTTGTGGACTTGATTGCCTCAAATTCGAGATTAAGCTCCTCTCAGGGGACTGCAATAAATTATAATTCATTTCATTACGCAATTTAATCAATCCCTCTGTTTCACATGCTAAGTGGATTAGCTTCCAGATTCTCACAAAAAGAAAAAAAACATTGAGCAACTTACACAATTAAATTATGCAATCTCAACCCTCCTTCCCGTTTGATTTGCTGCGCAGCGAAGTTAATTTAATTAAACTTTTACCTATTGACACATTCATGGTCGTCTGCGCGAAAATTGAATTTTCCCTTTGTGGCGAGCTAATGAATCGGAAAGCGCGCATTCAAAATAAACTGAAAACTTCCTCGACAACAATTAATTCCAGTTGAGCTCAAGTGTCAGAGTTTAAACGCCCCGCTTTCGCAATTTTATTGAGTCAACTTAATTGAACCTGATTACGAGGCGATACTGCCATTTCGAGTATAGGATCTCGGTGCCCAGTATTATAAAGGTGATGGCGTAGCTGAAGAGCAGTATCAACAGGGCCGAGCTCACGGTATCCATGTCAACCTGGAATTAAGGGTGCTTTCAAAGTTTGAAAGGGGATGTTTGAAAGTTCCGGTAACTCACATGCAAGTCTGAGGTCTCGATTTTCTTCACACAAGGCGGTTTCCTTGAGTGCCAGACATTAAAGTGATATGACAGGATTCCTGTTTCAGTGACACGTCGTAAACTGGGAAAACCCAAATGTTAGTGACTGTTTTTACCAAATACCCATACTCACCCATATGAGATAACCTTCCTCATTGGCGAATTTTTCTGCATAATGCTCACGGTTTTTTGGGGCGGAAACATGCTGACCTCGGTGAGATCACAAATATCCTGTTCGCTAAAAGTATCCGCAATTATCTTGTAGGCAGCAGCCACGTCCACATGAAAGGCAAATCCTAAAATCGAAATTAAGATAAAATCATGAGTATGTCAATCAGGGTTAATTAAGCACTCACTTTCGTGTTTAACCCTAAGTAAACCTGTTTCGGGATCTAACCAATTGCTGGCTGCATTATCCTTGGCATGGGCACCCGTTTCATGGCTGTGGACAATATCCCGATATGATTTAGCAGGATCAGTAGAAGCTGGATTCGGATCCACTGGCTCATCTTCATCGGCTTCGTTTTCTTTGTTGGCGGGCACACTTGTAATCTTCTTCGCATACAGTTCCATGGATACGGGGTCTTTGGTGTGCTATAAATAGATGTTCTCTTAAAACTGTAACTTAATATATTAACTAATCACCAAAAAGTAATCCCTGTTGTAGAGTATATCCTCCATTCCCACTTTCAGCGAACTGTGCACCAAGTCGCTTAAAGTTTTAATGGTTTTGGGTTTCTCCATCAGCAGAGTGCCCACAATACTGGCCGAATAGAATTGATAGATGCAAAACGAGAACAGCAGGCTGGTGATCACAATACAACGTCCTGAAACAAAACTGGTGGAAAAGCCAAGTCCCTGTTGGCAAATAATTCCCACGAAAAACAGTACGGATTCCAGAAAGAGACCCACACGCTCTGGAGATTTCGTCTGCTTGGCCTTCCGATCTTTGATGTACTTATTTATCTTCTGGTAGCAGCGTTGCCAAAGGGCTTCGGCATCAATGCGATTGGTATCTTCATTGCCTTCTATGTTTTCATTCTCTTTTTTTTCACCAACATCCACTGAAACTGCAGTGATGGGACGCACTGTGTCTTCCTTTTGCTCCTGTTGCGGTTGCTGCTGGTAATTTTGACGTGGTGGTACTCCTCCTTTGGGCTTAATCAAAGCTGAGCCATCGTGAGGCACCAGTTTCCACTCAATGTTGGTCAGGAACCAAAGAATTAATACTGTCAAAACACCAAAGCCCATAATTAGAATCCAAACATCGTTGGTGAACGGTTGAAGGAATACAATACGATCCTTTTGGGTACTTCTCGGATGGCGAAAAATGAAACAGGGACGACTCGACCAACTCCTGCCGGCCACATCGATCCATTTATGCCTTTCCAGCCAGTAGAATATCGGTGCCCCGCCAATATCCGTCTCGTTGCGAATAAGAGCTCCAATCATGCCGTCGAACCGACCGTTCTTCACATATCCCCACGACGTCGTTCTGGAAAGGACGAACGTCCAGTTGAACATGTCGCGCACTGCCATCAGCAGATTGAAGTTGAAGCGGTTCATCGTGTCGATGTGACCGGACACCGTATGGGTGAGGTAGTACATTAGGGTGCCCGTCATGTTTTTGTTGGTTACCTGCCGGTCGCATATCGAACAATACTTCAATCTCAAACAATATTGCACTGGGGAAAACTATTAGCTTAAACGCGGAAAAAATAAAAAAAAAATGGCTTTTTGCTGTCTTTATAAATTATTATTTTTTGGTTTTTGGTTTTGGTATTTAAAAAAACCACTTAACTTTTCATTATCAGAACATATAAAGGGCAATAAAAATATTCAATTTAATGTTTAAAGTTCAGCTTAATAATAGCCACATAAATCTATCAAAAATGTAAAAAAAGCATTAAAGAATTTAAAAATGGCTTTAAAATTACCAAAGAGAGGGTAATTTTTAAACTTTGATGTATTTTTAGACACCAGCTTTCGATAAAGTTGGTCAACATTGATTTCAAAGCAAAAGAATAAGTGAATTAACTTAAACGATATGATCATTCTTATACTAAAATTACTATTTTCGAAATATTTTCCGTTGAAAATTAATTAAATATGTGTCAAAATGCGATGTATGATAATCTTTTTAGAATATAAGATAAATTATCTCAAAATAATTAGTTTGGCCACACAGTCAAGTTTTTTGACCAAATTTGTAAATAATATATTACACATCTAATAAAAAATTTGTCGGTCTGACATATGCTTTAGTTAATAACTGAAAATGAAAAAGGATCACTTTGACACCACTTTCTTTCGAGTGTACTACTGTCCTTCCGGAAGATGATGAATCTTCCTGTTCCTCGATTCCCAACCCACTCCCCTTTGCCTCTCACCACAACCATGCAGCGCACCCGGGCATGCTGCATATCCATCCGGCGACGAACTGTGGATGTGGTCCGAAACCAGGCGTGCAACTGGATTCCTCCTGACGGCGTGAAGCTGCCAATTTCGGTCAGATTGACGTGTCCGCCGTAGTTGAGTCCGGGGTTCCTAAGCGAGGGTTCGAAACGGGAGCAGGTCGTAGTAGGAATTAGCAGCCGGGAAATCGACATTTGGGAAATTATGACCGATGTGTTGATGGCGAGTGCAGAAGTAAGAATTTGTTCTGGCATTTTAGAGGAATGAATCATTTTAAAGTCAAATGTTGTCGGAGTGATATCATGTCGTTTGATTGTAGGAATTTACGAATACTTGGATGCATGCCAATTGCTTGAGGTTAATATGGTTGGAGATGATAAGGCAATAATTCCTTAATAAACAACAATATCCACTTAACTAGAAGAAGAAACAACTATATACATCAATTACTAACAACTAGTAAAATACCTACATTTGGATTTGGACTTTCATTTAATTGGCATTATTAAATGCCTGTAAATCAAAAATTTATAGGTAACCACGAACTAGCCACACAATAAATCACAAATTTTGTTGATAACGAAATAAACATTTGTTAAGGCAATTAAGCATTCAGTCTTTCAGGGGATTGCAAACATATTTAAGGTAAAAGACTATTTAACTCAAGTGGATGGTGAAGCTTGCTGTGATTGTGGGATGACCAGGCCCATTAAATCACTCACCAGACATCGAACAGAGTGTAGTGGGCTGCCTCGGACATTCGCTTGACCAAAGTGAGTTCGGTGTTCATGTACAGGTTCATGCCCCCCAAGAAGCTGTCGATGGATGGCAGGTCTTCATCGTCGGTCGCCTGAATTTGCTGCCCCGGTGGCTCCTCCTCCCGTTTCGCCGATCCTTCGCCAGCCTGGGTCCTTCCGTGCCAGGCGAAATCCTCTATCAATAACCAGTGAAACTTCTCGCTGTAAAGCATCTTGGTGGAAGCCTTTGAAATGATTGTACTTGAGCACTTAATAAGGGGACTAGAACTTGACAAGGCGATGAGCGCCAGCACCAGGAAAAATTACGGCTGCTTGTTTTACATTTAACATTTTGGACCAATTTTCTTTTTAAGCCAATGATTTAAATTTGTAATTAAAAACTGCCATTTGAACAGTTTAATTCATGAATTATCCAATCATTTTATATCATTGTATTTTTTATTCCTCTAAATTAACTGAAAATATTTTTTTTTCCGTATAATTTTTATATACCGGTTTTCATTTCGATGGCGAATTAACCAAAGTCCAAATTTTTTACTGGTTATTTTGGCAACCATAATTAATACATAGATCTTAAAAAATAATTAGGATGATTTTTATTATTGTTTATTTTTGGCAATCTGCTGTAGAAATTTATAAATGATGAAAAACATTTTTTAATCTTAAAATTCTTATTTTAAGACAGTTTTTGACATAAAGTCAAAATTTAAAATTATATAGTATTTTCCCACGATTTTTTCTAAAAACAACTAAAAGCACATAGCAAACACTTTTAATTATAAGCTAGTTATGACATATAAGTATAAGGATACCATATTTTTCCCGACTTAATTGAAGTGACAGCTACTTTACTTTTTTCAAGTGTCGCTCCATCGCCCCAACTTACCAACTCGAGAAAACGGCGACTGATGGGGCCGCATGCCAGATCCACGACCGCAATTTGCCTGAGGGCTTCCATCCGCAGGACGCCCTCCAGCCAGTCAGCATTGCTCTGTGCTTGACTGGGCGTCTGGCTGAATCCTCCGCTCGGCCCGCTGCCCGGTCGTCGGGCACTCGAAGGAGCCGCCGGGGCCAGGACATCCAGCAGGACAATCCGCACAAAGAGCTCGCTCTCGTAGAGGCTCTTAATCAGCTGAACATTCTTCGCCGCGAAGGCGTCGCTAAGTTCTGCACTGGGGATTTGGTCGGAGGTCGAGGTCTGGGAAAAGGGCTTCTGGCACGTGAAGTAGGTTATCCTGGGGATGTGCTTATAGTCCTGCGCGAATTGCAGTATCAGACTGCTCTGCAGCAATGAAGTGCGCTGCGGTTCGGCCACCCCATAAGCCAACTCCAGCTCCTGCAATCCCTCGCAGGATAACGTCAAAAATAAGAGTAGCCACCAATGCATTGGGTACCAACAATATGTTAAAATGCAATTGACATCTACCTTGCTTCCGCCTTTTATATACAGATCCCATTGTTCGTGCATTATTCATTCGTTTGACTTTGACATTTTGCGGCTGTCCAAATTAAATTCAAATTGGCCCATAAATCGCTCATTGGAATTTCACTTTTCTTGTCAACTGACACCGGTCACCGTCATTATTCAATTTCGTTCAATTACATTTCATAATTCATGACCCACGCCCGTTGCCCATGAATATGCATAATGGATATAGGTATACGAATCAGGGTCGTCCCAAGTGTGTCTCAATCCCACTCAAACTCCTTTTGTCCTTTGGGGCTTAACGCTTCCCATGTCATAAATTCGGACAGTTTGTCAACTTAATTGAATTTCCATGCCAGTGCTAGGAATCAAAGAACGACGTATATCCCAACAAAATAATGTGACTATTGTTTATATTTTCAAGAGAAGTCAAAGGAATTTAATAATTGTTTTATATAGTTGTGTTTAGTAAATTAGTTAAGGCTTACTTTGTAAAAAATTGTTTAGAAAAGAGAAACCAGGAAAACTATTCTAGAAATTTGTTTTCAATATTTGGAAACGAATACGTTTTATTATTTGTAAATTATAATCTAATTTAATTTATTTTTCAAATATTAATGGAACTTAAAGTTAACTGAAAGCTTTTCAAAAATAAATATATTTCGCCAGCAGAGAATATATATGTTTAAAGTTTTATTTTTCCTTCAGGACTTAACTTTTTACCAATGCCAACTCCTGCTGTTTCCATTTCTGATTTTGATTATTTTTTCTGTATTATATATTTATTTTCTTCCGGCTTTTCATTTCACAATTTATTTTTGAGGTCAAGCGAGGAGCCCCTGAACAAAGTCATATTTTCTTATTATCTGTGCCACCGCCGTAATACCCGAAAAAATGGAATTATTAATGGCAGTGTCCATTCGCTCGCTGCTAAGTGGCGCAAATTACATTTTTGTTTATTTCCCCACAACTTGGCCTTGGGCCCAAGTCTTGGCCCTATTTACAGCTGTTGAGGTTGTACTTTCTTCCGTTGGCTCCTCGTTTTTTTTTTGTTTATTGTTTCCTGGCCACAATATATTTTGGCGTATGGCTTTTGGCGTTCGTTGAAATCCTTAATTGTACTTGGGAAACGCGTTGGAGCGCATTGCTTTAATGGGCTTCGGTACTTGTGGACGCTTCAACTACCTTTTGGCATTATTTATTTGCTCTTTAAGTGGCAGCACTGGAAAATGTTGTGAAAATGCGTTGAACAGTTCGTATACGTAATATTCTGGTAGTGCTATTTGTAAGCGGATTGCTTCATGCCAATAGTTTTGTGCAAAAATTGCGTTGTATTTTGGTTGAAAATAAAATCAAAGCTTGTCGGGTGTAAACTAATGAAAAATGATGACTCCCAGAGAACTCTTAAAGTGCTGGAATGAAATTAAAGCACTGCGCACACTCATTTCCCATTTGGGAGCCCCACTAAAAGTGCAACTAAACTGTCCATAATGAGTGGATAAAGACCACGTTTGCTGAGCAATAAAAACCGACAACGACAATGACAGGGCCAACAATTGCCAAACAAGAAGTTTTGCCAGCCGCAAAAAGAAACTTTTCATAAAGGAGGACATCCTCCAGCCACTCCTCTATCCCCATTTTTTTCGTGCCCTGAATATTGGCTAAAGTGTCAACGGCAGTCGTAAGTGCAGCTCTGCTTTATGAGCCCAGTCAGCCCTAGAGCCGGATGCTCTTGGCCCCTGCAGAAAAGTCAAGTTTCGTCCTGCAGGACGAAACCACAACAAAGGCGAGCTAAAGTGCAAAATGAACAACCAGCCAACCAACGAAGGGGTCGGTAGTCAAGGGTGAAGGCAGGGGAAAGTGGCCTACCAACGACATTTGCATGCAAATGATGCACTTGCAGTCGATTCGCTTCTCTGGAAGGAGCAGCAGATGAACTTGTTTTGTGCTAATGAGATCAGCATGCAAATCGCCAGCTAAGGACAGGAAATTGCAATGCAAGAAGTGTAAGTGTAATAGCTCTTGCCAATGCATCTTATTCGAAATTCACAGCGCAAACAGTCGGTGAACATTATGACATTATGACAAGTCGCATTAATCAACAGGCAAAGCTCTTATTTCTTAAATATGGCAGAGCTCTTATCAAAATGAAATCAGAGTGGGAGAAAGGTTGCACTGGAATAAATGTATATTAAATGTTTGTATCACTAAACGAAAAAGGATATTCGTTTAAATAATATTCATAAGTATATATATTTAATTAACCTCATTCATATTTATTATATTTAATTTTAAACATGTTTTGAAGTTGAAATAATTTCTTGGTATTGCTTAATGAGCATATTTTCACTTTCAACTATGGAACTTCTACTTTCGCTGTCTAGAGACAATTTTCTGGCATCGCAATGAATTTGACAAATTCCGCTGACATTTGAGCAGCAAAAATATTAATAAGTGTGGGCGGAAAAACTTGGCACGGCTTCTATCCTTGAAACGCAGCATAGACAAAAAATTGCATCTGTGTTCTGAGCCCCAAGGATTTTCCATTTGATGCAACTGACTTGACAGACAGTTGTGACATTTGTTGTTTCGCACAGTCGAAAGATAAATGTGGTCTCTGTACTTTCACGCTCTTGGCAAGCGGTTGAAAAAGCCATTTAAAGTGATAGACCTCAAGGAAAATGGAGTGTTACATTCAAAGCGTACATATTTTAAATTATATCAAATTTAATAAATAAATATTATGTTGTTTAATGAAAAAATTTGGCAGTTCAAAAATGTTGTTGAATTTTTACAATTTCTTAAAATTTATTTATTTTCTTTAAATTAATAATAATTTGAAATAGCAAAGTTTGTTGTTCAATAAAACTTTCTTTCTTTAAACTTCAAAGAAGATCTTTCAGTGGCTTCTGACTCCGCTTTTATCCGCCCCGTCATTTTTATCCGTCAAAGTAATAAAGCCATAACTATAATAGCATTAAATAAATCAGAGTCCAATCTGGCCTCCAACTACCCGCTTTTCCAGCACTTTTCCCTTTATTCTTGCACCCTTTTGCTTGCGCTTTTCTCTGGGCTTTCACTGCCACTTGGGGGAAAGTTGTGCGGCGTCAACTGGGAAAGTCGCGTTGAGTGCATTTTGTTGATTTATAATAAAAATAATGTTAAAACCATATTACATCATAATGAAAGAGCGCGACGGGTGTCGAATCAGCAAGAAGAAAACGAACCGTAAACAAGTTTCGAGTGAAATAATAAAATGCGCTTTTATGCATTTTTTCCCCGGGCAAATGCCTTACCATCCTGGGCTGGCACCTTTTGTATAATGCGTGTTATGTTATAGTTTACCTTATCCCCCCGCTCTCCCCTGTCCATTCCTTTGGCAAGCTGTCGGCGCCGTGCAAACTTGGAAGCGTTAAAAAATTCCCACCATATTTTCCTTTGCGTTTTTGTTTCGCTTTTGTTGCAACACAGAACTTTTCCATCCAAAGCGACAGCGCAGCGCCTGCACCATTTAGCCTAGGTAAGTGCACGGGAAAAAATATAAGGTCCTTTGAACATTATTAAACTTTTTTATGAGTTTCATTATTCTAAGCAATAGTTTGGTTCATATACATAATAAAGGATTAAAATAGTATAAAGCTAATTAAGTACTTGAGCAAACTTGCAAAAATTCCTTTTGTAATATAAATTTAATTTTAAAAGTTTTTGATCTAATTTTTAATATTTAAAACAGCCATATTTAATCTCCCATTTTATTGGGTATTTTCTCTATGTAGGCTGGTGTATCAGGGGATCGGGTTTGAGCCACATCTCAAGCCTGTGCTTAAAATGCTCAACAAAAATAAGCGTGGCCGTAAAAGCAGCCACAAACTTTCGCCAAAACAATTTTGACACCTGAACCCAAACCATTTGCCGTGTTGACAACGGACCCGGTCATGTTAATTCCACGCAGACTATGCCAGCAATGGCTGGTGACAAAAGGTAAGAAAAACTTTGGCCCCCGGGAACTTACCGAAAAAGTGGAAAGTAAGTTGTCAAGAACTGCAGGCAAAAAAGTATATCGGGTTAAACGTTGCGCATGTGAGGAGGGGGTGACATAAATGTGATTTAATGTGTTATAATTCGTTTGCGCCGTTGAGGCAAAATGAATCAAAATACAGGGGCTTTTAAGTTAAATACTTACACCTTTGCGTTCATTTATTATATTATAATTAGAGCCTTTATTAATAAATGTATCTTGTGTTAAATAAAGTATTGGAATTAAGTTTATAATATAATATAAGGTCGGATATGTCTTCTTCACTACGTTGCGAACTTCTGACTGAAATTATAATACCCTCTGCAAGAGTATAATAAATGTGAATCTTAAATCTTAAAAATACTAAAAAGGAACAAATTAACTCACAATTTTTTTAGTATGCCAATCTAACACTAATAAGTACAGGACCGACTTAAGGCTTATCATTAATTCGGTAAAACGGGACTTAGTAGATTAAGTCGGTAATCTTATTAGTTATTTGTTAACTTAAAGGGGCTTAAAAGACCAACTTCATTACTTTAAAAGTAAACACTCTCAACCGAGAGTGAGAAAATGAGGATAGGTAAACAAACCCAGGGGCTGAAGCCAAACACGTAACACCTAAGCATAAAACCAAACTCACTGCGGAGTTTGCGACTTCCTGAGCTTTACTTCAAGAAGGAACCACTCCAAAAGCAAACGCACGCGGTGGACTGACCCAGTTTTCACATATTTACTGCTTGGCAAACATCCTCTATCCTCTTTGTGAAGCGGCGGGAAAGTGCTTCAATCAACGGCTCAGACACATATGTTACGCTGGATTGTTATGGAAATCCATAAATAAAAGCGCACAGACACATGTTTACACGCTCATCAATTTTTGCAGGCATAAAACGAGCGGCGAAGAAAGCGGCAGCAGGACTAGTACTGTGGGAAATAGGAA